AGAGAGCAGTTGAGGGGACGGAGTGGGGGGATGGTTGTGTCACATTTGTGTCATTTTCAGCACAATGAAGTTTTTGTGACGCTTTGCGAAGGACATGAATGCAATGTAAAACTTTTGCCATCAAGAGTTCCATGGGTAGCAATGTTTATATCACATTTTGAAACAAAGTGCAGGGAAGGGAGCCTGATGAAATACTGTACCTCATTTGAACAGTTGCAAATCAAGTATCTGCTCTTTTCTCACCAACCACAAGATGGCTCCCTTGATTGGGAATGACCCAATGACTTTCAGACAGAAAATAAATGAGCTGATTCAAAGGTTGAAAGGGTCTGCCACGACTCAAAAACAGAGCAGAGTCCAAACTCTCATCACAGGGTACGTGAAAATGAGGTTTATTTCATGGTAATGTTTCACTCTTTAGCAGGCGATGTGCTGCACGCAATCATTCAATGAAGACAACTTTTTTATAAACAGGACAGAAAGCTCAGTCCGTACAAGTACCTATGGGCCCGTTCAACACCTTGTCCTTTCAAGCTCAAACCTTAGGGAGAGAGGGGTGGGGGGTTGGGAGGCAAGCAGATCTTATTAGGATTTAGTGGGGGTTGAAATGTCTCCAAGGTGATCTATACCCTAAAGCTATGCAGGTTGGCATTAATTACAAAAGAGTTTCAAATGAAGAAAGCCCTTCGGATTTTATGATCTCATCCTGCCAGAATATCTGTTTCCCTACAGTATTCCCATGACAGCATCAGCCTGTTTCTTAAATGAGTCCAGCAACTTGCCAAGGCATTATTCATGGTTGACCAGCCAGCCTGGCTCCTCAGTAAGCCTTAGAAGTGTCAACATGTCCTAAACCTGGTGTGAGCCAAAACTCCAATGGGTAGGGCAGTCCTCGCTGGACAAGCGTAGTACCAGGAAATGTACAAGTGCTTGGTACTGGTAATCTGCAAGGTTACCACAAGTACTATTCATTTGTTTTCTTTTTTAAAAAAAGCTGTATAAACAAGCTATTACCCAGGCAGCAGCTCCCCAGGTGGCACCTGTCTTGTACACACCCGTAGATCCGAAACTGGAGAGCAATTGTTTCCATCTAACATCTCATTTGCATCGAACATCTCATTTGCACAGTGGAGGAACAGTTTAGAGAAGAGAGAGACAGAAAGCCCTCCATCATTTTTGCAAACAACGACAAATTACATTTGTGTAAGTGCCTTTCAAGTTGGGAGGACGTGCCAAGGCGCTGGACGGTCAGGGATTTGGACCTGAACTGGGAGTTGGGATCAGGAGGTGTGGAGGGCAGGAAGTGTAGGGATAGGAGGGTGGCCGAAGTCATGGACGAGAGGAGAGTCTTAAGGCGGGCTTTGAAGGAGGCAAAGGAGGGAGTGAGGTAAAGATACTGTGGGATGGAGTTCCAAAGGGTAGGGGCAGAAAGCCTGAAGGCCCGACCACTGGTGGTAGAACAGTTGGGTTAAAAGCTAGACAATAGCTCAAATAATGTCAAATTGCATTTCCTCTACTCCTGTCCCAAATAAGAAGTTGGTTCTTTTATTCATTTACTATTTTTGTACTACTGATTGGGAGATGAGGTTGTCGAGGATGATTTGAGTGCTCACAATTGGAACATCTTTCCTCATTTTTGCAACCAGCATCAATCTGACCTGAGAAAGACTGAGGTGGGGAAAATGTGTCATTTTTCTGTCAAGGCATCTCGCACCATAATGAACACAAATAATTACCAATAAACAAGTCTATAGTTATTGAGTTTATTGCATCAAATACTTAGAATCCTGGTATTATTCCAAGATTACCCAAATCCTCTCTAGGAGCAATTGCAGAAAACACACCACTCACTAACTGCAGCAAACTCTCAAAGTGACAGAACATCAGGCACCTGCAGTCAAAGCAACTGTTCTCAAAGCAGGAATAGGATCAATGCAACAAGGATTTAGTGCTGATTTTGAAGGTTTCTTGACAGACTGTGTGGTCCACTCCAGCCCTATCTCAACCTAGCTCAGTTGAATAGTTACAGTAGAACACAACAATGATAAATGGTGGCATTAATTTACAAATGAAACTCTTAAAGCATAACATTGTATACTTTTTACGTTTACAAGACCATAAAGACATAATTGCGCTGAGAGTATCTTACTGACAATCCAGCTGGAATCACTTCACTCCGAGAGGATTTACTGAAGCTTATAACCTTCATCTATTTCAACAACAGCTTGTGGTTAAATAAATCCAAGGCTGGAGCCAAGCAGATACCGGGTTTAGCTCCAGAATTAATTATGCTTCCCGTTTACTGTTTAGCTGACTGCAGAATACAATATTTTACATTGAATGTCTTGTACTTTCTGTGAAGTGAATGAAGCTAAGAATCTAGCTGACGTTTCAAAAGTACAAGTGATTTGTCACTTGGTCCATCAATTGCATTGCTCTCGCTACTTTGTTGAACTCACCAGGAATTGGAGATTAACATTTCTAGAGCTGCCAACCACGGAGTCCTGTAGCTGAGTGGTGAGAGCACTCAACTCGCAAGCGAGAGGATATGGGTTTAATTCCTGGGAGGGGCGAAATGTTGGGCAAGTTTCCTTACTCCACAAGCCTCTATTCACCTAGCAGTAAGTAGGAACCCGGTTGTTTGTCGATTGGCAGATTGCTTATCCAGAGGTAATAATTCCTTCAAAAAAAATAATAAATAATAATAATAATTTGGTCACTCCACGATTTTGTGGGATATTGTGCTATTGGCTGCTGCATTTCGCCCACAAAATATACAATCAATTCTGTGAAGCCCCTTGAGATGTCTCAAAAACGTGATAAGGCACTATATCAAATGCCAAGGATTATTATTATTACCTTTAGTACCAGATATCAGAAGTGTTTTTTCAAAGATGCAAAGCGTGTTAAACACAGCTATTCTCCAGCTGCTTCAGACAGCTTCTCTGAGGCACTAACCTCCTCCAACTAGTCTTTGCCTGTGAGATAGATAATTTGGGCCTAAAAAATTAAAATGACAACACAGGTACAGTGATCTAATAATCTTTGCAATTGATATAGCACCTTATCAGATCACTGAAACTTCTCAATGTACTTCACAGAATAAAATTGTGCAGAATTGTGAAAAAAAATCTTAAATTCGGTCTTAATTTGGAAGCCGGTACTTTTAAAAATTGTGTGAAATTGGCTTCCAAATTAAAATTGAATTCAAAAAGGCCATCAATTCTGCACAATCTTAATTTGTTTTAAGGCCAAATGGTTTCACAGGCTAAGACTTACATTTTAATTTGGAGTCACTGAATGGTTAAGCTCCAGTGACTGCACTGTTCTAATCCCTCTGAGACTTTACCCTGCGTGAAGGGCATTATATAAATGCCAGTTGTGGTTGTTGAAATAGAAAGTCTTGTAAACTGTAAAAGTTTCAGACTTGAATTTCCATTGCATTTTTTAAAAAAAAACTATTTTTATCACTGTGTGTGTGTGTGTGTGCTTCTCAAAGTGAATTATGTCTGTGCTGAGGAATGGAACAAGTTTCCACTTTCTGGCCTCCATTGTCAACATCAATCACTTTCAGAGGTCACGTCTGACACAGGGCAAAGGCAGAATAATGCTCCCTCTGATCTAACCAGCACCAATCCTACTGCCCCACAATTCCATTTCTCTTTATCACGCTGGCTGTGCTGATGACCTGCCAGAGACTGACGGACAATATGTTGGTGGTTTTGTTTTTATAGATAAACACAGACTCGGGCCCATAACTAAGGAACTGAAATACCCCCAAAACAAATTACACTTTGATCCTAACTGCCAAAAGAAAATGAGAGAAATATCTCCATCACATCTGTTCAGGCTGGATTCCAATCAGTGGTGGCCAACTCCTCCCAACCCCCGAATTCTGCACAATTTTAATTGGAAGAGTTCCCCTCCTCTTGAGCTAATTTTACCACTAATGTCTTATCCAAGAAGTTATCAATCAGGGTGCAGAGGCAGCAATATAATACAACAACAAATTACATTTGTTTAGCGCCTTCACGTCGGGAGAATGTCCCAAGCCATTGGACAGTCAGGGATTTGGACCCGAGCAGTGGATTGGGATCAGCAGAGCAGGGAGAGGTATGAGGGTGGCCAAAGGTGCGGTTGAAGAGGAGGGTCTTGAGACATGGCTTGAAGGAGGCAAGGGAGGGAGCAAGGCGCAGGGACTGGGATAGAGTCCCAAAAGGTGGGGTCAGAGAGACTGAAGGCCTGACTGCTGATGATGTGGCAGGCCGGGCAGGGGACATGGAGCAGGCTGCTGAGCTGAGGGAGCGGACAGGTTGATTTGGGTCACAGAGATAGGAAGTAACAAGGCCACGGAGGGCCTTGAAGGCTAGGACGAGGATTTTGAATTCTATCCTCTGGGAGATGGTGGGCCAGTGGAGCCTGACGCGGGTGGGGGTGGTGAGAGCCTGGTGCAGGAGAGGACACAAACTGCAGAGTTCTGGATGATTTGCAGCTTGTGGAGGGAAAAGTTGGTAAGGCTGACAAGCAGGGAGTTGGCGTAATCAAGCCTAAATAAAATATAGGGTATTTTTAGCAAAATATTGGGGGGTGAGGCACCTGCTCTCCCTTGGCGAATGGCCTGCAAATGATGTAAACAAAACACAAAACTCCTCTCCCCCAAGAGTTCATGGAATAGTTATTTCTGCCCCTCTTTATGGGCACCGGTGAGCACAGGGCACAGAAATAAAGGTAGAGAGAACAGATGCACCTCTTTGCTCCTCTTCTCCCCCCTCAACCCAACCCCCCACCCCATCCTATCCAGAACCTTCTCTGACAATCAAAACAGACAAACCTTTCACAAGGTTTTCTGGTTTATAGACTAAATACGTTGATTCCTCAGATTGGCGCAGAATTAAAGTGCCCTTGCTTTGTGTACAGTGTATGGCATTTGCTATCAATGTTCTATGAAACAAAGTCCAGTACAAGTCAGTGAGTGCAACAGCACTAGTCACGTGTTTGTAGTCAGTGGCATGAGTCTCATATAACAGAGTGTTGGAGGGTGCAGATTCAGCCTAATCTGAGCTTCCTATCGCAGTTAAATCAACGTGAAAGAGTATGTTGCTTCGTATGTTGAAGGAAGGACAACGAGAATTATTGTAACACCCTCCTACCACGAGCATTCTCTAGTACTCCTCAGAATTTATTATGCTTTTACGACCTTTTCGTAATATTCTTACAGGATATTACTATAATTTTCCACTCGATAGAACGCCTATAACTTGGAAACTTCTAAAGCGCTTCACAGGTAAGCACTGTCCATCGTATTCACTACTGGTGGCAGCTGTTGAATGTGAGTGAGCCACTAATTCCAGCCATGCAAAGCTATTTCTTTCGATTGTTTTTCTTTGGTTGTGCAGAACTTGTACAGGTATAAGTCAATGGGGCGGTGGGGGAGAGGATTTTTGACCAACCTGGGGTTGCCTATGTAACAACATTCAATAGAAAATTGTAGAGTCCTGTAGCTCAGTGGTTAGAGCATACGCCTTGCCAGCAAGAGACCTGGGTTCGATTTCCGGCAGGGCGAAACATTGGGCAAGTTTCCCCTTGCACACACCTCTGTTTAGCAGTAAGTAGAAACCCAGTTGTTAGTCAAGTGGAGGATCGCTTTTCCGGTGGTAATAATTCCTTCAAAACATTTTCTAAAAATAATATTTAGTCACGCAATCCATGACTGTTTGTGGGACGCTGCTGTGTGCAATTGGCTGCCCCATTTTGCCCACAAAATATACAGTCAATTCACTGTACAGTATATCCTATGAAGCGCTTTGAGATGTCTAGAAGGTGTGATAAGTCACTATAATAATAATAATAATAATAATCCTTGCATTTGATATAGCGCTTTTCACGTCGGGAGGACGTCCCAAAGCGCTTCACAGAATAGACTGTAAAGTGAATTGACTGTATATTTGTGGGCGAACGCGGCAGCCAATTGCGCACAGCAATGTCCCACAAACAGTCGTAGATTGAAAATGACCAATTTATTATTGTTTTGGGTTTTGGAGGGATTATTATTAGGCTCTGTGTGGAGTAAGGAAACTTGCCCAAGGTTTCGCCCTCTGCCTGGAATTGAACTCAGGTCTCTCACTTGCAAAGCGAGTGCTCTTACCACTGAGCTACAGGACTCCACTATATCAAATGCAAGGATTATTATTGTTATAATCATACATTCAATTATGCCAATAATAATTTGGCCCTTCAATCCACGAATGTTTCCAGGATACTGCTGTGTGCAATTGGCTGCCACGTTTCTTCCACAAAATATACAGTCAATTTACTTTATAGTATATTCTGTGAAGCGCAATGAGATGTCTCGAAGATGTGATAAAACGCTATATCAAATACAAGAATTATTCTTATTATATACACAAATACTCTACAGTCAAATTGATTCAGGCTTTTTCTTATGTTGGTTAGCAAGGTATATTGGTTAGAAAGACATGTATCTTATATTGGTTAGAAAGTCTTCAATATATAGCTACAGGATACTGTCATTAATAATAATAATCCTTGCATTTGATATTGGGCTTTTCACATCTTCGAGACGTTTCAAAGCGCTTCATAGAATATACTGTAAAGTGAATTGACTATATATTTGTGGGCGAAATGCGACAGCAGTATCCCACAAACAGTCGTGGATTGAAAATGCCCTTCCCCCACTCCCTCTCCTCTGCCCTCCCACTCTCCTCTCTCCCCCCATTCCCCTCCCTCCCTTCCCCCCCCCATTCCCCCCCCCTCCCTTCCCCCCCCCCATTCCCCCCCCCCCATTCCCCTCCCTCCCCTTCCCCCACACTGTTAAACTTTCTGAGATACTGCCCCCTCCCCCCACACACACACAAAGTTCACTGTATAAATGCAAGTTGTTGTGTTGTGTGTTGCCGTTGCGTGTTGTTACATTTATAGAGCGCCTTTCAGAGCGTGGGACGTCCTCCCGACGTGAAAGGCGCTCTATAAATGTAATTTTGTTGTTGTTGTTAGCCCTGGCTGAGCCAGTTGTTGTTGTTGTGTTGTTGTGGTGGTGGTCCTGGCTGAGCCAGTGCCTGTTGTTGTTGTTGTTGTGGTGGTGGTGGTCCTGGCTGAGCCAGTGCCTGTTGTTGTTGTTGTTGTTGTGGTGGTGGTCCTGGCTGAGCCAATGGTGGTTTTGGTATTGTTGTTGTGGTCCTGGCTGAGCCAATGTTGTTGTTGTTGTGGTCCTGGCTGAGCCAGTGGTAGTGTTGTTGTTGTGGTGGTGGTGGTCCTGGCTGAGCCAGTGGTGGTGGTTGTTGTTGTTGTGGTCCTGGCTGAGCCGGTGGTAGTGTTGTTGTTGTGGTGGTGGTGGTCCTGGCTGAGCCAGTGGTGTTGTTGTTGTTGTCGTTGTTCTGGCTGTGGCTGAGCCGGTGTTGTTTTGTTGTGGCTGTGTTGTTGTTGTTGTGGCTGTGGTGGCTGTGTTGTTGTTGTGGCTGTGGTGTTGGTGTTGGTGTTGTTGTTCTGGCTGTGGTGGTGTTCTTGTTGTGACTGTGGTGGTGGTGTTGTGGCTGTGGTGGTGTTGTTGTTGTGGCTGTGGCGGTGGTGTTGTGGCTGTGGTGGTGGTGTTGTGGCTGTGTTGTTGTTGTTGTTGGTGGTGGTGGTGTTGTTGTGGTGGTTGTTGTTGTTGGTGTTGTTGTTGTTCTGGCTGTGGTGGTGTTGTTGTTGTGGCTGTGGCGGTGGTGGTGTGGCTGTGGTGGTGTTGTTGTTGTGGCTGTGGTGGTGGTGTTGTGGCTGTGTTGTTGTTGTTGTTGGTGGTGGTGGTGTTGTTGTGGTGGTTGTTGTTGTTGGTGTTGTTGTTGTTGTTCTGGCTGTGGTGGTGTTGTTGTTGTGGCTGTGGCGGTGGTGTTGTGGCTGTGGTGGTGTTGCTGTTGTGGCTGTGGTGGTGGTGTTGTGGCTGTGTTGTTGTTGGTGGTGGTTGGTGGTGTTGTTGTGTGGTTGTTGTTGGTGTTGTTGCTGTTGTCGTTGTGGCTGTGGTGGTGTTGTTCTTGTGGTGGTGTTGTGGTGGTTGTTGTTGGTGTTGTTGTTTGGTGGTGTTGTGGCTGTTGTGGTGTTGTTGTTGTGGCTGTGGTGGTGTTGTGGTTGTTGTTGTTGGTGTTGTTGTTGTTGTGGCTGTGGTGGTGTTGTTGTGGCTGTGGTGGTGTTGTTGTTGTGGCTGTGGTGTTGTTGTTGTTGTGGTGGTGTTGTGGTGGTTGTTGTTGTTGTTGTTGTTGTGGCTGTGGTGGTGTTGTTGTTGTGGTGTTGTGGTGGGTGTTGTTGTTGGTGGTGGTGTTGTTGTTGTTGTGGTGGTGTCGTGGTGGTTGTTGTTGTTGGTGGTGGTGGTTTTGTGGTGGTGTTGTTGTTGTTGTTGTTGTTGGTGGTGGTGGTGTTGTTGTGGTGGTTGTTGTTGGTGGTGTTGTTGTTGTTCTGGCTGTGGTGGTGGTGTTGTTGTGGCTGTGGCGGTGGTGGTGTGGCTGTGGTGGTGTTGTTGTTGTGCTGTGGTGGTGGTGTTGTGGCTGTGTTGTTGTTGTTGTTGGTGGTGGTGGTGTTGTTGTGGTGGTTGTTGTTGTTGGTGTTGTTGTTGTTGTTCTGGCTGTGGTGGTGTTGTTGTTGTGGCTGTGGCGGTGGTGTTGTGGCTGTGGTGGTGTTGCTGTTGTGGCTGTGGTGGTGGTGTTGTGGCTGTGTTGTTGTTGGTGGTGGTGGTGGTGTTGTTGTGGTGGTTGTTGTTGGTGTTGTTGCTGTTGTCGTTGTGGCTGTGGTGGTGTTGTTCTTGTGGTGGTGTTGTGGTGGTTGTTGTTGGTGTTGTTGTTGTGGTGGTGTTGTGGCTGTTGTGGTGTTGTTGTTGTGGCTGTGGTGGTGTTGTGGTTGTTGTTGTTGGTGTTGTTGTTGTTGTGGCTGTGGTGGTGTTGTTGTGGCTGTGGTGGTGTTGTTGTTGTGGCTGTGGTGTTGTTGTTGTTGTGGTGGTGTTGTGGTGGTTGTTGTTGTTGTTGGTGGTGGTTTTGTGGTGGTGGTGTTGTTGTTGTTGTGGCTGTGGTGGTGTTGTTGTTGTGTGTTGTGGGTGTTGTTGTTGGTGGTGTTTGTTGTTGTTGTGGTGGTGTCGTGGTGGTTGTTGTTGTTGTTGGTGGTGGTTTTGTGGTGGTGTTGGTGTTGTTGTTGTTGTGGCTGTGGTGGTGTTGTTGTTGGTGATGGTGGTGTTGTGGCTGTGGTGTTGTTGTTGTTGTGGCTGTGGTGGTGTTGTTGTTGGTGTTGTTGTTGTTGTGGTGGTGGTGTTGTTGTGTGTGTTGTGGTGGGTGTTGTTGTTGTTGGTGGTGGTTTTGTGGTGGTGGTGTTGTTGTTGTTGTGGCTGTGGTGGTGTTGTTGTTGTGGTGTTGTGGTGGGTGTTGTTGTTGGTGGTGGTGTTGTTGTTGTTGTGGTGGTGTCGTGGTGGTTGTTGTTGTTGTTGTTGGTGGTTTTGTGGTGTTTGGTGTTGTTGTTGTTGTGGCTGTGGTGGTGTTGTTGTTGGTGATGGTGGTGTTGTGGCTGTGGTGTTGTTGTTGTTGTGGCTGTGGTGGTGTTGTTGTTGGTGTTGTTGTTGTTGTGGCTGTGGTGTTGTTGTTGTTGTTGTTGTTGTTGTGGTGGTGTTGTTGTTGTGGTGGTGGTGTTGTTGTTGGTGTTTCTGTCCCTTTAAGGAGCGCGGGGCCGCGCGGGGGGCGGGACTGCAGCGCGGGGGGCGGGGCCGCGCGCGGGGGGCGGGGCTGCAGCGCGGGGGCGGGGCCGCGCGCGGGGGGCGGGGCTGCAGCGCGGGGGGGGGGCGGGGCTGCAGCGCGTGCCCGCGGGGTCCGGCCGTGTGATTGGCTGAGGTGGGGCACGTGGCGTCACAGCTGATTTCCTGTGACATGTTTGTGTCTCCGCTCAAAGCGCCTCTTCCCGTCCGACCATGAAATCCTGAACCCCGGGATTACACCCCTTTTCTCTCCCCCCCTCCCCCCCCCACCACCACCATCATCATCATCATCACCATCATCACCACCGCCATCATCACCACCAGGCGATCTTGTGGCCGAGCTCGGTTCGTCCCAGGCTGATCCGGGAGGGAGAGCGATGGCCGAATCTAACGCTATCCCGGTCCAGGACGAGAATAACTGCCCCATCAAAGTGGAACACGATCGCAAGAGGCGACAGTTTCAGGTCCGGTTGAACGGTAAGAGGGAGGGAGGGAGGGGGGGGGGAGACACAGAGGGGGAGGGGGGGGGACACACAAAGGGAGGGAGAGTGAGGAGGCGAGGGGGGGGAGACACAGAGGGAGGGGGGAGGGAGACACAGAGAGAAGGAGAGAGGGAGGGAGGGAGACACACAGAGGGAGAGAGGGAGGGAGGGAGACACAGAGGGGGAGGGAGGGAGGGAGGGAGGGAGACACAGAGAGGGAGGGAGGGGGGAGGGAGACACAGAGAGAGGGAGGGGGGAGACACACAGAGGGAGGGAGAGAGGGGGGGAGTGAGACACAGAGAGAAGGAGAGAGGGAGGGAGGGAGACACACAGAGGGAGAGAGGGAGGGAGGGAGGGAGACACACAGGGAGAGAGGGAGGGAGACACACAGAGGGAGAGAGGGAGGGTGGGAGACACACAGAGGGAGAGAGGGAGACACAGAGAGGGAGGGAGTGAGACACAGAGAGGGAGGGAGTGAGACACAGAGAGGGAGGGAGTGAGACACAGAGAGGGAGGGAGGGAGACACAGAGAGGGAGGGAGGGAGGGAGACACAGAGAGGGAGGGAGGGAGGGAGACACAGAGAGGGAGGGAGGGAGGGAGACACAGAGAGGGAGGGAGGGAGACACAGAGAGGGAGAGAGAGAGAGGGAGGGAGACACAGAGGGAGGGAGACGGAGAGATAAATAAATCGAGAGAGAGAGACATAAATAGACATAGACAGATAGAGAGATCCTCTTTCTAGCTCTCACTGCCTTTTGTTTTCATCTGTTTGGGGAGGATTACAGTATTTTAAAGGAAGCTTTTCTGCAATCCTTTCTCTCCCTCTGTCTTTTTTTTTAAAAAAAGAAGAGCTTTTCGAAAAAAACCAAATCAGATATCTTATTTTGGTTGGTGTGTGATAAAAATCTTTTTAGCAGCAAAGTAAATCCATCCTGCCTTTCCCTCCCCCATCTCTCCCTCTCTCTCTGGGGGTGGTGGGGGGAGAGAGTTGTCCTCAAACAATTATGATCCTTGCACTGGAATCTTGTTAACCCATTGATGGTGGTGGGGGAATCAGGAACTGTGTTCCTTCCAAACTTGGAACCACACGCACGACTCCTCCAGCTGCTGATGAGGATTATTTAAAGGACAGTCTTCGTTTGATTCGGTATCTGCTCAACAAAAACAAAAGTATTTAAAGGCACTATGGGTTAAATACACTTTCCCCTTGGCTTGGTTCGTGCCAAGCTGAACGGTGTCTTGTGTGTGTTTTTTGTTTACTTTTGGTGAAGAATAGCAATGGGGCTGCTATCCTGGGACTTTACAGGTTAAAAATCAGGGGAACAACTCGCTGAGCAGTTGGAGTGACCGAGATAATGGATACCACTGAGTGATTTACAGCCAATAATCTCTGGTGCTTTGCTCTGTGGATAGCTTAGCCTTCTTGTCTGGAGTGCTTGTTGAAAAGCCAGGAAAATACTATGCTTTCCACAGCTGGCTGGATTCATTACACAGCATGGATGGAGCGAACTGCAGACCCCTCCGCTCCACCCCTCCCAAAACTGAACTACAACAACAACAAAATGACATTAGTAAAGCGCCTTTCAGGTCGGGAGGGCATCCTAAGGCGCTGGATGTGGCTCAACTTCAGCCAACTCAACTCTGGCTTTACAAATAGGGGCGTAGAATACAAAAGTCAGGAGGTTATAATGAACCTTGATAAAACGCTGGTTAGCCCTCAGCTGGAGACTGTGTTCAGTTCTGGGCACCACAACAAAGGAAGGATGCGAAGGCTTTGGAGAGGGTGCAAAGGTGATTTACCAGGATGGTACCAGGAATGAGGGACTTGAGTTAAATGGAGAGACGAAAGAAGTTAGGATTGTTCTCCTTGGAGCAGGGAAGGTCCAGGGGTGATAACCTCTTCACAAAAATAATGATTTGGTCACTCAATCCACGGCTGTTTGTGGGACGTTGCTGTGCGCAATTGGATGCCATGTTTCCCCCACAAAATATACAGTCCATTCACTTTACAGTATATTCTGTGAAACGCTTTGAGACGTCTCAAAGACATGTTACGGTCCCATATCAAATGCAAGGATTAATTGAACATTCAATTATGCCAATAATAATTTGGTCACTCAATCCATGAATATTTCTAGGACACTGCTGTACGCAAATGGCTACCGCACTTTGCCCACAAAATATACAGTCAATTCACATTATAGTTTATTCTGTGAAGTGCTTTGATACCTCTCAGTGACGTGATAAGGCTTTATATCAAATGCAAGTATTATTATTACGCGAGTGGGAATTCCTCCCAGGACCCTGGAGTGAGGTACCCACTGAGAAATCCGGTCTGAGAAGCAGCGTGAGTTGAGAGTGAGTCCACAGAACCCACCGTCTTATAAGGATCCTGTTTGAAACGTGGGACCCCCAGTTTCCACACTCAGAACCAGCCTTGCAATGTTGCCACGTTACATAGTGTTTACAAAACAACCAGCGACGAGGGGAGGATAGCGAGAGCATTGCGTCTCACATGAGGGAACGTCTGGAGAGCTGCGTCTTTTAGAGCCCTGAAAAATGAATTCATAATCTGTTCACTCAATTCAAAACTGTTTGCGGGCCACTGCTGTGCGCAATTGGCTGCCGGGTTTTGCCCCAAATTACGATCAGCCCACTTGACGATATATTCTCTGGAGCGCTTTGAGACGTCTTAGCGATGTGATAAGGCGCTGTAATCGAACACAAAGATTATTATAATTAAATGCCTTGCGTTTCGCGAAGTCCCTTTTCAAAAGGAGAGACTGCCACGTAACTTGGTCAGTCGCTTCGCTCGTGGAACCTTACTGGGTGCAAAGCAGCTGCCGTGTACACCTGCACGACACACGATGACTGCAGCAATTCTGAGAAACACTTGGAGACGTTTCAATGATGAAACAGGTACGCCACATGCAAATGCTATAATCTTGGTGCCCATTGGTGTGCTTTCGTACGAGAGAGACTCTCATTGCATGCGAGCCAAGCCAGTGTGTTTCCTGTAAGCACCCTCTGATAAAAGATTAGATGTACTACACTCAATCACCCCCCAACCGCCACCACTTTCTCTCTCTCTCTCTCTCTCTCTCTCTCTCTCTCTCGGGGCAAGTTGACCTCAAAGGTTAAAATAGCCACGTGACAAAGGCACCACACAATGGACATCGGAGAGGCAAAGGGACAGGAAAGAAATCTGCTTTCCTCAAAGTGACTCACATTCCTGAATTTGTTTTCCAGAGAATAATCCCCACGCTCCCTATTTTGTCTTGGAACTAGCCTAATAATTTAAAGGTCTCTTTTCTCCTCTCCTCTCCCCCCCCCCCCCCCCCCCCATCTCTCTCTATCTCTCTGCATCCCCCACCCCCTCGCCGCTCCTTTCAACAATGTCTTGATAAACTGATTGTGTTCCATATTTCCTTGAAGAGTACAGACTCTGGTGTTTTGTGAACCGGGGGCTGACTGCAGGAATTTCAAGACAGCTGGAGATGTCAAAAATAGCTCCCAGTCGCTGCTAAGAAATGTGCGCTCAACTCCCCTGCTGGCGGTGGCAGAGTGAGACATACACACTCACACAACTGAGAGACACTCATAGACATACGTGCGTTCACACGCAGCCAAGAGAGAGAGAGAGAGAGACACACACACACACACACAGCCAAGAGATTGAAAGACGTAAGCGCACAGAGCCGAGAGTGAGAGATCACACACACAGCTGTGAAAGTGAGATACACGCCCGATAGAGTGAGACAACCCTCCCCCTCACGCGAAGCGAGTGAAAGACACACACCGACACACTCAGACCCCTGAGAGAACGACACACGTAAGAGAGAGTGAGATACACGCAGCGGCACATAGTTTGACAGAGAGCGACACACACACACACACACGTGAGAGAGTGTGAAATGCACATATAACCCTCCTGAAACGGACACATACAAACACATACACAGAAGGTCAGGTCTAGTCAGAAAAGTACACTCCGGAAAATTAATCTAACAGAGTCATGCTTGCGATTTTGTCATACAGTGAGACGCCACTCCACACTCCTTGGGGGACATAGGAAAACTTTTCATTGTTTCCACGATGATGTGAAAGTACATCAGACTTTTTTTTTAAATGAATTAGTAGTGGTCACTTAGAGAGGCAGCCATTTTGAGTGCATTGCAACCTCCTCCTAGTTTTAGGGAACTTTTTAAATTTAATTCAGGCGTTGATAATAAACTGGATTGAATTCCCAATTTAACGAATGAGATTTAAGTCACTGGAGAATGGCTTAGTGGGCTGGGCTGGGCTGGTTGGGTTTACATCCATGGATGAGTTTGTGAAGTATGTCCTTTAGGTTGTTAAGGGAAGTCTGGGGAATGGATTATTTTTCAGTCTTCGCTCCCAGCAGCTTAGGCTTCTATTCTATACAGCAATGTGGCCTTAACCCTGAGCTCAGAAGAGAGTTTCCACTCTGCACTAGGCTTATGATAATAGTAATAATTAATAATACTTGCATTTGATATGGTGCCTTATCACGTCATTGAGATGTCTCAAAACGCTTCACGGAATATATTGTAAAGTGGATTGACTATATATATTGTTGGGAAAAAGCAACAGCCAATTGCGCACAGCAGTGTCCCACAAACAGTCATGGATTGAGTGACCAAATTTTTCTTTGGAGGAGTGGGAAATGATTACAACCAGAAAGTGATCCGCCAATCAACTAACAACCGGGTTCCTACTTAATGCTAGGTAAACAGAGGCGTGTGGAGTAAGGAAACTTGCTAAGTTTTCTCCCAGCCCGGGAATCGAACCTGGGTCCTCTCGCTTGCAAGGCGAGCATGCTAACCAATACGCTACAGGACTGCTGACTGTCCAGTTGGGGGAAGAGTTGCCTTGCCGTCCTCCTTCACATGAGACATTAAACTAAGACTTAAGACATCTGCCTGTTCAGGTGGATGTTACACGACACAAGTTGTAAAGAGAAGGGAGTTTACCTCCAGTGTTCCTGCCAACAGTCTTGAAAATTGATGGGATCTTGCTGCGGGCTACAGCATCCGCCCACAAATACAGTCACTGTACTCGACAGCAAGTCCCTTTGGAGCACTTTGACTTGACACTATACAAACGCAAGGCTGAATCATTTTGATGCCAGCGAGTGTCGGCAGCCGATGGGGCATCAATCCAGGCTGCAACCAACGCTCCCACACAACACCATCCTGTAAGAGAGTCAGTGAATAATGCTTAGCATTCTTCCTTTCCCCCTCAGTCCTGGGACACTGACACCAATTGTAGTGCTCATTGCATCCCTAAACTGTGGAAGCTATCAGCAAATCATAGCACTGCATATTCCTTGCACGTGCTATGGACCCTTATCACTTCGACGAGAGATCTCAAAGCGCTTCGCAGGAGTTTACTGTAGAAAGTGTAGCGACTATGCATTTTGTAGGTGAACGAGGCAGCCAATTTGGAACACAAACAGCTGAGAAGTGAGTGACCAGTTTTATTTGGGAGATTGTTGGCCAGGTTCACTGGGAGAAACTCTCTTATTTCACTAGAACTAGAGAAGGTTGAATGGAAACCTGATGAAGGTGCTCAGATATTTTGTGAAGTCTTGATATTGACAGTGAGTCAGTAACTGGAGAGCATCAAATTAAGATCATTACCAAAAGACGTTAAAAAAACACACACAGACCCATGTTTGTCCACAAAATACAGTTATTACACTTTACAGTACATCCCTTGAAAGGTTTTGAGATATCCTCCTGATGTGAAAAGCATTGTACCGAATAATAATAATCTTTGCATTTGATATAGCTCCTTATCACGTCATTGAGACTCCTTAAAGCACTTCACAGAATATATTGCAAAGTAGATTGACTGTATTTTGTGGGTGAATGTTATTAAGTTAATTAGGGCATGGAATGGTGGAGCAAAAACAGTGGTTGGTGCAGAATCTGTAACAGGTTTTGCTAGAAGCTTACAGCACTGAAGAAGGACATTCGGCCCATTGTACCTGTGCTGGCTCTTTGAAAGAGCTATCCAACTAGTCCTACTCCCTGCTCTTACCCCATAGCCTTGCAATTCTTTCCTTTTCAAGTACATATCCAAATTCCTTGTGAAAGTGGTTATTGAATCTGTTTCCAACACCCTTTCAGGCAGTGCATTCCAGGCCGTAACAACTCTCTGTGTCAAAACATTTCTTCTCATCTCCCCTCTGGTTCTTTTGCCAATTACGTTGAATCTATGTCCTCTGGTTACCGACCCACCCGCTAGTGGAGACAGTTTCTCCCTATCTACTCTTATCAAAACCCCTCATCATTTTGAACACCTCTATTAAATCTCCCCTTAACCTTCTCTGCTCTAAGGAGAACAATCCCAGCTTCTCTCGTCTCTCCACATAACTAAATTTCCTCATCCCTGGTTCCATTCTGGTAAATCTCCTCTGCACCGTAGTCAAAGCCTTGATATCCTTCCTAAAGTGTGGTGCCCAGAATTGCACGCAGTATCCCAGCTGAGACCTAACCAGTGACTTATAGAGGTACAGCAGAACATCCTTGTTTTTGTACTCTATGCCTCTATTTATAAATCCAAGGATCCCATATGCTTTTTCAATAGCTCTAACAACCTGTCTTGCCACCTTCAAAAACCTGTGTATGTGAACCCTCAGGTCTCTTTGCTAAACCTTCTTTCATACTCTACCGTTTAGTGTATATTGCCTTTCATTCTTCCTCTCAAAATGCATCACTTCACATGTCTCTTCATTGAACTTCATCCGCCATGTGTCTGCCCATTTCACCAATCTGTCTATGTCCTCCTGCAGTCTGTTACCATCCTCCTGACTGTTTACTACATTCCCAAGTTTTGTGTCATCTGCAAACTTTAAAATTTTGCATTCGATACCCAAGACCAAGTCATTTATTTAGAGAGCTGGCACAGGCACGATGGGCAAAAAAAATGCCTTCCTGTGCAGTAAAGTTCTATGTTTCAACGATATTTACCCAGAAAGCTGGGGCCTGCCTGAGGGGAGTCTATAAATAGGCGACTTATTTCCCGTTTGGGTATAAATTAACAAAAAAAGGTATGTTTAAAAAGATCTCAACTGTCAGAGGTCAAAACACCCTCGTGAAAGCTGAGGTTCACCACAGGTTTGGAACGTTTCCACAGGTTGGAGAATAGTCTGGGATAAGCTGTCCTACTATAAGGTTAGAGCAAGTCAGTCAGTCTGGCCCATTCCTTCTCTGTTCCCCCCCGACAAGCAAGCAGTCATTACCAGAGGTTTAAAGTGACTCTCCAGTGTTGGGGGTGAGGGTGTTGAAATGCCAGAGGTTATGTCCTTCAGATGAGACGTTAAACCAAACATATGCGGAAACCCATCACTATGCTTAAGAGTATCCAAACTAAACCGACTTGAGATTCCATGTATTCCACCTACACATGAAAATTCCAGAGATGGATTCTTGGAATGGAATGCGCTCTTTCTCTCGCTCTCTCCTTGGAGGGACGCACCCTGCTTACCTAATTCTGGAAAGTATTAGGCTTGAGGCACTGCAAAGTGTGTGTTTGGGATAACTGCTGGAGTCTAACCAGATAACATGGCATAGGTTACTAATTGCAGTGTGTGACTCGGCGAGAATCCTGTTGACCAGCGCTAGGAGGGCAGCTCCAAGGTGAGTTGGAGGTTCCTGGCTTGGATCTGTAAGGTCCTCACTGTTCTCATTTCCTCTAACGAGGGAAGACAAAAGGGCATCTCGCTTGTAAATGCGTGAAACCAATTCTATAAACCATTAGCCAATTGCCTGCAGCAACAACAACAATAACTTGCATTTATATAGCGCCCTTCATGCAGGTTAGCGTCCCGGAGCACTTGCACCCTATTTGCGCCAATCCTCAGTTGCGTATAGTTGTGTTTGGAGGATAAGTAAATACAATGTGGTTTAGAGTGTGATCCGTTTCCCTTTGTCTCTCAGGCTCCCATGAACGAGCAGTGCTGCTGTACGAGTATGTGGGAAAGAAAACAGTGGACCTGCAACACACGGAGGTTCCAGACGCCTACAGAGGGAGAGGAATCGCCAAACTGATGGCCAAGGTACACCAGAGATGGGCACAGACACAGCGCGAAGCTTCTGTAGTGATGCAGTCATTTTGGAGTCGTCATCATAGAATTATACAGCACAGAAAGAGGCCATTCGGCCCATTGTGTCTGTTTCGGCTCTTTGAAAAGAGCTTCCAAATCAATCCCATTCCCCCGCGCTCTCCTCATAGCCCTCAAACTTGTCCTCCCCAAATAATTATCTATGGGAGTCACGTAGCTTAGTGGTTAGTGCGCTCGCAAGGATTATTATTAATAACTGAGTAACACAATTCAGATTTACATTTATATAGCACCTTTCACGTGGAGAGAACATTTCACACAAAGAGCCAGAGCACGGTAATCAAATGGTTAAAAGTCCTCTCAGGCCTCAGTCTTTCAGTACGCTCACACCCCCGTCCGTCCAAAAATCGTCGAATGACTGACAAGACTGGCAGAGACACAGAAACACCGTGGGCTGGTGAAGGCACAGGGCCAGAGAATTGTGAAATGTAACAAGAAGAACTTGTTTTGTTTTGGGGGGAGGGTGGGGGGGTGGGAAGCGGGTGCAGAGAGATAGATGTCTGTGCCTGCTTGTTGCAACAGCTTAGTCATTCTTTCAGGTAAGATTCCTAAAGGGGAAATGGGTGCGTGGGTGGGTGGGTTGGGTGCTGCAAACAGAACGCACAATGTTGCGACCACATTCACTGTCCCATAGCCTAGTCAGTCGACTTGGGTTTGATTCCCAGGCAGGGTAGGTAAAACCTTAGGCGAGTTTCCTTACTCCATAAGCCTCTGTTTACCCAGCAGTAAGTAGGGACACAGTTGTTAGTTGATCGGCGGATAGCTTTCCGGGGTTAATAAGCCAAGTCCATTTCCCTTTAAGGAACCCTGGCCAAAACGTTTGGGGCACAAATTGGCTGCTCTGCTAACCTGGGAGAAGTTTATTTTTTTTAAAAAAAAACCCGTAAACAACTACTTCTCATTGACTGGAAAGGGTTAGGCTGAGTCTTAGATATTTGACCTTGTTACAGAGCTGGTGCCCGGTGCTGGAAGGGTTAATGGCCTGTTGCACCCTAATACATGTTTGCAAAGGAAAGCAAAATCCTGATATGAATAGTGTTGGATCAGGTTCATTGTGGATATAAATAGAACTTCCAAGACTGGGTCACACAGGGCATCCCAACACAGACAGAAAACATGGAGACGCACAGTGCAGTGGTTAGAGCGCTCGCCTCTCAAGCGAGAGGACCCGGATTCAATTCCCGGGCGGGGCAAAACCTTAGGCAAGTTTCCTTACTCCGCACGCCTCTGTTTACCTGCCAGTAAGTAGGAACTCAGTTGTTAGGCAATTGGCGGATTGCTTTCCAAAGGTAATAATCCCTTAAAAAAAAATTGGTCGCTCAATCCATAGGTGTTTGTGGGACACTCCTGTGCGCAATTGGCTGCCGCGATTCGCCTACAAAATACACAGTCACTCCACTTTACAATGTATTATGTGAAGCGCTTTGAGACGGCTCAATGATGTGATAAGGCGCTGTATCAAATGCAACTATTATTATTACTTTACTAGATGTCTCACCAATGAGAAAGGCGTGGTATCAAATGTGAGGATTATTATTGGTATTATTATTAATAAGAGAGCCCGCCTCCCCCCCCCCCCCCCCCCCACACACACACACACACACACACAAACCTCAGTAACCAAACAGAAGTGATCTCTGGTCGATTGGCCTCCTAACTCGCTTTCCTCCCTTTCTCTCACTGTCTCTCACGCACACTCTAGGCGGCCCTGGACTTTGTGGTTGAGGAGGACCTTCGGGCTCACCTGACGTGCTGGTACCTGCAGAAATACATCAAAGAGAATCCGCTGCCACATTACATGGACCGGATACAGCAGCGAGTTCCCACAGACTTTCACCTGCGTTAGACTCCCAGCCCTGGTCTCACAGGGCAACCTACTGTTACAGACTGGATGCGTTGTGTGTGTGTGTGTGTGTGTGTGTATGAGAGGGGGGTATGTTCATGTTATGATGCAAAAGTGTATCAAGAGGGAAGGGATGTGTGTGTGTGGGGGGGGGGGCGCGGAGGGGGTTAAGGGGGGGGATTATTTTGCTAACTTGATCCAGGATTGCTCTTTATAATGTGCACCATTGGCCTGTCAACTGTGGACAAGAGGACAGTAACCTGACGTACGTAAGTACTCTGCGATGCCATTCCTGTAGGATTGGCTTTCGAACCGTAGCCATTACAGGAGGCTCTTTGCCTATTGATGCCAGTTACTCCACCCGAGACCATCTCCTCTAATTCTGATTCTGGGTGGGATGTCTATCAGACAGAGCACCAAGCGAGCTCCCAGTGTTTAACAGGGAAGGAAATAGGAGATTCTTAGCAGGTACCAACAGCCCCTCCCAGAAAAGGTCTCTTGCTCGCTTTGTCGCCAGGAGTGTGGTCAAGGATGACACGTCGACCTATCACACCTCTGGGTCTTGGCTTCCAACTAAGGCCTGGAAGGAATGAACCCTCCGGTCGTCTCTTAAGAGTTTGGAGCTGACCGCAAACACATGGCTGTCACCCTCCCCCCTCTTCCCCACCCACGCCCTCTGTCACCCTGCCCTCCACCCACACACCCACCCCATCCTGTCGCTCAACTCCCATCCACCACCCCCCCATTCCCAGGTTTTGAGGGCTAAAGGGTCACAACGGGAAAGTGGAATTAGTAAAAACAGGGCCGCGTGGGAGAGGGAGGGAAAGAAAAGGCCAGAGAGGAGGAGAGAGCAGACCGAACAGCCTTCTACTGTACTGAAAGTTTGTATGTTTACCACGTTTTGGCACAGATGGATGCCAGACCATGGCTGGTGTGGCAAACGGTGATTTCACCCTTGGTGCAGCAGGTGGCACTATGTTGGAAGGCAGAGTGGGAGGACTCGCTCAGTGGTGCTTCAGAATGGGTTCCGACTCCACTTGAGCTGGGAGTAATGGCGCAAGATGGAGTGGATTGGGATGGAGGCGGGAGGGGAGTGGGGGGCGCGGAGGGAAGGTTAGGTCACTCAATCCACGACTTTGTGGGACCCTACTGTGTGCAATTGACTGCCACGTTTCACCCACAAAATACATAATCCACTTTACAGTATATTCTGTGAAGCGCTTTGAGACGTATCAACGACGTGATGAGGCGCTGTATCAAATGCAAAGGTTCTTATTATTAATATTAATTGGACTAAACCTCCAAGTGAACAGAGCCAGGACGGCAGAACTTTACTGGAATCTACCGCTTAAATTCAGGAGTTAATTTTCTCTGTTTTTCTCCCTTCCCCACCCCCAACCCGGTCCACTGCAGACAGCCTCGGGCAGTCTTGTCCCATGTCTCTCTCTCTCTCTCCTGTTTTAGGGACTCTCTCTCTCTCTCCCCTCCCACCCCCTCACTTCCTCCCCTTCCATTCTCGAGTCTCGGTGTAAACAGTTTCTGAGTGGTCTCTCATATCTTTATCGATCTTTTTATGCACAAAATGCGATTGTTTGTTTTAGTCGGTAGTTTTTCTCTGTTGATTTTATTAAAAAAAGAAAGCAATAAATTTCTAGCAAACAGCGTTCACCCTGCCCTCTGGCCCCCGCGTTACTGTCTGATGTCTTTACTGCAAAAAAATGCGTGGGGGGGTGGGGGAAGATGAGAGGAGTGGGGTCTCCTTGGAACTGAACTGGTTTCAAGGTGACGTGTTTGGCAACTTAATGTCGCAATCGAGTCCGCCCTCTGTGACGGTCTGCGGTCCGGTTCCTGAGCCAGGCGGGTCCACAAAACTCCAGGGCACAGCGCAGGCCAGCCTGGCCTCATCGCCAGGACTCGCCGGGGCAAAACCCCCGATTGCACCATCACCGCAGCGGTTTAAAGGGAAGACGGTCCCACCATCACCACATTCTCAGGGCCCCAGTGGTGGGCAGTAAAGTGCCATTGTGGCGCCCGAGACAGTGAAATTAATGTACTGTGGCGCCCTCCGCCGGCCAGGGCTCACTCAGTGTTCATTAAATACCATAATATGGACACCAACACAGCCGCATTTAAAAATAAAGGACACTTGTGGACCAGATCTGCCTTCTGACACTCCCACTCAGCAGGGGACGGGAATAAAATACAGATGTGACGTTCTCTACTGAGCCAGACAGTCCCAGATATCATTACAGTTCAGCCCAGGCCGAGGGAAGAACAGGAAAGACAACAACAACAAAATTACATTTGTAAAGCGCCTTTCAAGTCGGGAGGACGCGATACAGTTAAGAATTTGCGTCCGACTTGTGCGGAACAAGCACACAAATACTCAGGCCGCAACCCAAACCCGCACCGGGAATCTGGAAAATTAAGACTTATTATTACGTAAAAAGTAAAATACTGCAGTCGCTGGAAATCTGAAATAAATAAAACCCCAGAAGTTCCTGGGAACACTCAGTGGAGAGAGGAAAGATGAAAGGTCATCGACCTGATACGTGAACTCACTTTCCTGATATTTTAACCCAGCGACTTCTGTTTTTATTTTTATTATTACACATTTTACATGGAAATTACCACTGGAGGGAGCGAGTGAGGCTATGATCACTCAACATGTTTTACACGTTCATCGCCACTGGAGGACACAGTGGGACCGCAGATACCACGGTTTGTCATTACACATGTGAACACCGTGTGCAGGTCGGGCGATCTGGCAGCTGCATTGAATAATATCACGATAAACGGAACGGAAACTATTTCAGACACTGCCCCCGGTTTGCCTTTTCGAAACAAACTAATGTACAAGACCCGTGTTACTGAGAACATAACACTAAAGTGTCGCTCAACAGGAGCCACAAAACTTTATAATAATAATAATCATCCTCGCATTTGATATAGCTCCTGATCGCATGGTTGAGACGTCTCAAAGCGCTTCACAAAATATACTGTAAAATGAATTGACTATATTTTGTGGGTGAAACACGGCAGCCAATTGCCACAGCAGCGTCCCACAAACAGTCGTGGATTGAGTAACCAAATTATTACTTTTTTTAAAAGAACTGAAGGGCTTATTACCCCCAGAAAGCAATCCGCCAATTGACTAACAACTGGGTTCCTACTGACTACGAGATCAACAGAGGGGTGGGTGTGGAGTAAGGAAACTTGCCCGATGTTTCACCTGCCTGGGAATTGAACCCGGGTCCTCTCGCTTGCGAGGCGAGTGTTCTAACCACTGAGCTACAGAACTCCCGGTCACCAAGCAAGGGTTGGGATGAAAGTGGTAGGGAGGGGGAGGATGTGATCACATGTGTGGTTGAAGAGGCCAAATTCTGTCCTCACGCGATAATATGAGGATTAATCCCGACAATTATTGGCACGAGACGTGAGAGAGAGCGAGAGAGACTGATCCATTTCATTTTTGTTTCTCTTTATTTCATAATTTTAAAGCAAATTGGATCAAAAATATCTAATGGCTCATGAAAAAGTCATTTTGTGGGACGGATTAACACGTCCTCATCAATGAGATGTTCCTCCTCCACCACCGCCACTGCAGAGGGTGGATGGTGAGCAGAGCACACAGAGAAACAGCACAAGGAGAGTGGGAGTGGGAACAGGGGGGGGGGGGGGGGGGGAACGAGGGGAAGAGAGGAGAGAGGGGGAAAGTGAGGGAGTGAGAGATGGGGTATGAGAGGGGGCGAGAGAGGATTGAGATAAAGCTTCAGTAACAGCAACATGACATTTGACCTCGGGTGGGACAGACGGATGGATGGACGGACGGAGGGAGGATGGGAGGGATGGAGGAAGAAGGGGCCCTGACACAACAACAACTTGCACTTATCTAGCGCTCTCCACGCAGGGTAGCATCTCAGAGCGCTGACACAGAAGAATAGAATCAGGCCCACAGTAACTGTGGAGATTGTAGCCAGCGCTGGGTTGGGGGCGGGGCTGGATGCTGGGGTGGGTTGGGGCTGAGCTAGGGGTTGGACTGGGGTGGGTTGGGGAGAGTTGGGGCTGGGCTCCCGGTGAGGAAGCTCAGTGAAGTGGCCCGGGATGAAGGGCTGTTACAGGTCGGGCAGCCCTGGGATCGGGAACGTCGCGGCAAAGCTCTCCACTTCCCGACGAATTTTCCTGATTCGGCTCTGGAACGCCTCATCGCTCAGCAGCCTCTCCTTGAACTCCCGCAGAGGGGCTTTGATGCCCACCTCCCTCTGAATATCCAGCGTCAACTCGATACCTGCAGGACAGATGGACAGGGTGGGGGGAGAGGGGGGGATGACAGCTTCAGCAATGGGGGTGGGGGATACAAAATTTCACCCAGTCTCAGCCTTGGAGACCATTTTTCATCTTGAAACGTAAATGTCTCAAAGTGCTTCGCAGGATTCCCTGTGACGTGTAGTGACTGTGTGTTTTTGTAGGCGAATGCGCTACCAATAGCCTTGAAGAAAGCGACTCATTTTACTTGGGGGACGGTATTTCCGACAAGGCGGCACCCCTCCCCCCCTCTCCCCACGTCCTCTCTTCCCCCTCCCACCAACGCCTTGCACCCCCCCCCCCCCACACAGCGCTGTGCTGGAGCGTCAACCTGCACCGTGTGAGCTCCGAGAGCCCCCCCACCCCACCCCTCGTTACCTTGGTGAATAAAAGCCGCCACCTTTCGGAAATCCTCCTCCAGGAAGCCCCTGGAGGTCAGGGCGGGGGTCCCGAAGCGCAGGCCACTGGGACGCAGGGCACTCTTGTCACCTGTCAAACACAGCAGATCACCGCTCGCCTCAAGAGCAGGAAGTGAAGGGAGTCAAAGCCGGGGGACCCCGGGGGAGAGAGAGAGAGAGAGAGAATCTCCCTTCCCGTCCCCAACAGCGCTGCCGCAAGGCGTCTTTATAACGTTCACGTGAACAGGACACAGACAGACGAGGCATCCCAACAAGGCAGTGCTTCCACCCCCCCCCACCCATGCCTCACACCCCCTCCCCCAGCCCCCTACACCCTACACTCCTCCCCCGACCAGCCCCTCTCCCCCCCCACCCACCCCGTGTTACCTGGGCAGGTGTTCTTGTTGCAGGCGATGGCGCACAGCTCCAGCACCTTGTCAGCCCGGCCCCCATCCGTGCCCCGGTTGCGAAGGTCAACCAGGATCATGTGATTGTCCGAGCCCCCTGCCGAGAGCAAGACAGCGACAGAGTGAAGCCCCCATCGATGTGCCTCTCGTCACAGTCTCAGCATCATCACCAGCCGTGTAGCTCAGTGGTCAGAGCCCTCGCCTCACGAGCGAGAGGACCCAGGTTCGATTCCCAATCGGGGCGAAAGAAACCTTAGGCAAGTTTCCTGACTCCACGCACACGCCTCTGTTTGCCCAGCAATGAGCGGGAACCCGGTTGTTAGTCGATCAGCGGATCGCTTTCCTGCAGTAATAATCCCTCCCCCGCTCTAAAATATATCCGGTCGCTCAATCCATATCTGGTCCCATGTTTGTGGGACGCTGCTGCGTTTCGCTCACAAAATACACAGTCACCACACTTTATTAATTTATATTATTATTATTATACCCCGGCCTCTGAGGTGACGTGAAAGGACATGTGAAAGCGCTGCACAGGAGTTGACTGGCTGTGAAGCCGGGCGAGCGTGTGTTGTGTAGGGGAGCGCGGTTGCTGACTGGCGCCCAGCGATCTCACCGCTGACAACATGATACCCCAGGTCCATCAGAGCCGCGGCCAGAGCCCTGCAGTTGGCCACCACCTGCTCCTGATAGACGCAGAACTCCGGGGTCATCGCCTGCTTCAGAGCTACGGCCACTCCTGTCGGGGCAGAAACGACAACAACAAACTACATTGGCACACCGCATTTCATGTCCAGAGGATGTCCCAAGCCACTGGTCTGTCGAGGGTTTGGACCCGAGCTGGGGGTTTGGATCGGGAGGGGTGGAGGGCAGGGAGGGTCGGGGTAGGAGGGTAATCGAAGGTGCAGTTGATGAGGAGGGTCTTCAGATGGGCCTTGAAGGAGGCGAGGGAGGGAGGCGAAGGGACTGTGGGATGGAGTTCCAAACGGGCAGAGAGGCTGAAGGCCCGACTGCCAATGTTGGGAGCAGGCCGGAGCCCACTGAGCGGAGGGAGCGGACGGGTCTACATGGAGTTAGCAGGTCACAGAGATAGGGAGGAGCAAAGCCGTGGAGGGCTTTAGGAGAACTAAGCTGAGCAGCTAAGAGCATAATTTCTTTTCCTCCTCCTCTCTTCTGGGGGCTCCTCAACGGGATTCGGAGCAGCAGACCAGGCACTGCGGGGAGGGGGGGGAGGTGGGGGGAGGTGGGGGCAGTTGGCACCTTGCTCAACTGGCCATTGACCACATCTCAGCCACAGTGAACATCATCAGCTCCACTGCTCACAGGGCACCGCAGTCACTGACCCCGACTGTGCAGCACGGAAACAGGCCACTCGACCCAACCAGTCCGTGCCGGTGTTTATACGCCACGCGAGTCCTCACCCATTCCTCACCCCCTCCCACCACACCCTTCTATGCTATTTTTACGTTCTTAAGTTCTTACGATAGCACAAAACCTGGGTGGATCCAAGCTGTTGCGCCCAGAGACATGCGAGTGGGCAAAGAGAGAGGACAGGATGTTTTTTTGTCCTCTCTTGTCTAGGATCCTGAGGTCAACTGAGGTCCCGGCCCCTGATGTGACCGGGAATGAGGACCCTGCTGGTCAGTGTGCGGGGAGGCTGTGTGAAGACCGTGCGGAGACGGTGGGAGAGGTTACCTGCGATGGCGTGGTTGTGCGGCCCACCCTGCAGCCCGGGGAACACGGACTGGTTGATCGGACCCTCCAGGTTGTACATCGTCTCCTTGCCCGTTTTCTGGTCGACGCTCTGGACTCCTGCGGGGGGCGGGGGAGGAAAGGGGGGAAGGCAACAGAAGGGACACGTTATACAACAACTGTGAGGGTCAGAAACGGGAGCAAGATGCAGAGAAAGAGAGAGAGAGAGCAAGTGATAGAGTGAGGTCGAGTCAATCGCTGTGATGTCTCAGAGCAAACTACAGAACCACAGACGTTCACACACAGAGGAGGCATTTCACCCATTAGGCTCTGTGTACGAGCGATCCCACTCTGTCTCACTTCCCTTCCCGCATCGCTTGTGTTTACTCCTGGTTAGATATCTGTCTCGTTACCCTCTTGAAAGCTCCTGGGAGTCATCCTCGTGGAGTCCTGTAGTCGTTAGAGCGCTCGCCTTGCGAAGCAAGAGGACCCGGGTTCGATTCCCGGGTGGGATTGCTTTAATCCACACGTCTCCGTTTACCTAGTCGATTGGCGGATCGTTTCCGGGTGTCATAATCTCCCCTCCCTCCCCCACCCAAAAAAGATTGGGTCACTCAATCTACGACTGTTTGTGGGACTGTCCACAAAATACACAGTCACTCCACTTTAGACTATGTACTGAGAAGCGCTTTGAGACATCTCAACGACGTGATAAGGCGCTGTATCAAACGCCAGGATTATTATTATTATTGCTCACCTCTGCGGTAGAAGATCATGCCAGCCCGGCAGCCACGGAGGGTCTTGTGTGTGGTGGTGGACACCACGTGGCAGTGCTCGAAGGGCGAGGGCACCAGCCCGGCTGCCACCAGCCCGCTGATGTGTGCCATGTCCGCCATCAGATAAGCTCCGTTCTCGTCAGCGATCCCGCGCATCCGAGCGTAATCCAGGTTCCGGGAATAGCAGCTGACACCTGGCCGGAAAGGTTGGGGAAGAGATGAAACTGTAGCTAATCGCGGGAACCAAACACCCACCCCCCCCACCCTCGTTCGTAACTCGATCCGCATCTTCCAATTGCAACAGCTGCCAATTTATAGGTTGGTTTCACTTGTCAGTGTGTCACTGGGGACAGGGAATCCTCCCACTCAACTCCAATTGTCCGCGGTTTTCCCAGATGTCAGTCGGCAGTGGTCGCGCTTCTGAGTCGGAAGGTTTTTCGTGTGTTACAAACACCCCACGTCGTGACACTTTGAGCTCGTAGTCCAGGCTGACTCTCCAGCGCGATGCTGGGGGTAGGGTGGGGGTGCGCGCGTGCGAGTGCGTGTGTGTGTGGGGGGGGGGGAGGAGAGGGTGTACCTCGTTGTTTGAGATACCGTTCTTCAGATGATACTTTGAACCGCGGGTCCCGTCTGCCCGTTCGGGTGGACGTTAAAGATCCCGCCGCGGCGTGGGATTTGGAAAAGCGAATGGATTTTTTTCCCCCCTCTCTCTCTCGGTGTCCTGGCCGACAATCCCCTTGGATACAATCGCTCACTCGCTTCGCGGGCTGTTTGTGGCACGCTGCTGCGCCGCTGGATTTTCTGCCGGGGTTTCGCCGGCAGAACACACAGTCACTGCACTTCGCGGTAAATCCTGCAAAGCAACTTGAGGCCAAACCAGAGCTGGGAAAGAATGGAGTTCTTCACTTGGACGAGTAACTTTTTCGAGGACAAGTGGGAGAGAGAGATCGTACCCTGGCGTGGAGTGGCGTGGCCGGGTTACATGGGTTTAGAAAGTTTAGACAGCGAGACAAACAAAGCTGTCCTTTGTTTCAAGGCCTCCCGTTGCGTAACAAACTGAAATTGCGTGCTCTGCTTTGCTGCGTTGTTCAGTGTGGAGAATCTCCTCTAACTGTGCGCTCGAGGAGTTGGAGCTTGTGATCTCTTAAGTGAGGAGTTTCATTCAGTTCAACTCTCGCTCCTGCGAAAGGGCGGTCGGTGCGGAGCACGACTGAGAGCCACGAGCAGAACGGTAGGTTGTACAGGAGAACACTCCGGCAAAATGAATCAAAAGGGTTTTATAACAATCATAAAAATTCTTGCAACTGATATCCCGCCTTATCACGTCGTCTCAGTGCGCTTCGCAGGGTACACTGTAAAGTGGATTGACTGTGTATTTTGTGGGCAATTGCGTACAGCAGTGTCCCACAAACAGTCGTGGATTGAGTGACCAACATTTTTTTTTGGAGGGTTTATTATCCCCGGAAAGCGATCCACCAATCGACTAACGACCGGGTTCCAACTTATTGTTGGCTAAACAAAGGCCGTGTGGAGTCAGGAAACCTGCCTAAGGTGTTGCCCTGCCCGGGAACCGAACCCGGGTCCTCTCGCTTGCGAGGCGAGCGCTCTAACCACTGAGCTACAGGACTCCATGCAGTCCTGTAAACTCAGCAAGAACTGTGAACATGGGAGGTTGCTTCATAGTATGGTGGGGTATGTGTGTGTGTGTGTGTGTGAGAAATAATAATCCAGCGACTTGGAATGTCTTCCCGACGTGAATGGCCCTTTGCAAATGTAGTTTTGTATTGTATGGTATAACCTGCGCTACAGGGACGAGTGCAATTTGGAATGTCAAACCATGCAAATGTTGTGGAGTCCTGTAGCTCAGTGGTTAGAGCACTCGCTTTGCAAGTGAGAGACCTGAGTTCAATTCCAGGCAGAGGGCGAAACCTTGGGCAAGTTTCCTTACTCCACACAGAGCCTAATAATAATCCCTCCAAAACCAAAAACAATAATAAATTGGTCATTTTCAATCTACGACTGTTTGTGGGACATTGCTGTGCGCAATTGGCTGCCGCGTTCGCCCACAAATATACAGTCAATT